TCCTACAGTACGTTCTTGCTAATGGTGTCTGGCCAACGAATCCGAAGTATTTTGCGTAGACAACTGTTAATAAACACTTGTATATTCTGGATGATGGCTTTGGTAGTTTTCCAAATTTCCTCTCCATTCAGCAGAACTGTCTTGACATTTGTACTGAAAATCCTGATTTTGGTTTTGGATGAAAGTTGTTTGGAGTTCCAGATATTTTTCAACTGTAGAAATGCATCCCTTGCTAATCCTTGTCCTCGCATTCGCATCGGATCCACCTTGTTTGTCGATGATGCTGCCCAGATATGTAAAGGTGTTAACGTCCTCCAAGGCATCTCCATCAAGAGTGATTTGGTTGGTGCATGTTGTGTAAGATTGTTAAGTTTTATAACAATTATGAACTGATCAATAATAGACCATAATTGGATGTCTGAACGTATTGGACGGTTGCTTCGTTCTAGAAGTGGGACTCGTAAACAGTGTTAATCTTGCGACCCCACGAGCAAGAATCAAACCTGATAGACATTAACGTCATGAAATACCGGTTCAGTGGTCAAAGGTTAAGGAGTTCACGTACACGAACGAAGGTTTTGGGATTGACCCCTGTTTGTAGAGTTATACATGCACGTTATTGATGAGTCTAGTATTAGGACGAAGCACCCGTCCAATTGTTCAAGATTTCTAACTTTCGAGACTGGAAAATTCCTACTTTCAATAATCCAGATAATATAACTTCAATTATTTCTTGCTAGAAAGTGGTGGAGTTTTGTTCTCTCTGAGCTGAATGTTTTGAATGTGGAGCTTTCATTGTCCTCCCTCTGAACAACATCATCGGCACAAACTTCAAATAGCAGACGTGAAGTATTCGAATTTCTCTGTGTTCGGACTCGTAGTTTGTTCTGTTAACCTCAATCTTGATTGGTTGTTATTGACCTTAAACCTGTCTTTGTTCGCTCTTTTATTTTTTAATGTATCCTCCCTTGATCTGTTTCTTGATCCTATGTCAGCTATGATTGTTTCTGATTGGTTGATAAGGTGTGTCGTTGTCGATATGTTTGTTGATTGCTGATCGACCTGAGTTCTAAGCTTTTAAAAATTCTTTAGTGTTCTTTATGCTCCCTCTATCCAGTATTTCAATAAGCTATAAGTCATACGTGGAGAAATTCGACTACTTTACTTCTCTATCTGAAGTTGGTGCTGCTAATGTTGTTCGTCTGAAGCACAATGAAAGCTCCGCGGCGAAAACATTCTCAGCTCAGAGAGAACGAAACTCCACCATAATCATCCGTCTGAGCTACAAAGTTTCTCCATCATCTCCAAATCATATTTGTAAGAATTTATAATTCCAGACTGTAAATTACTGACTTAAGACTGTAACACCTAACGGCCTATAGGTCACCTACCAGCAATCTCCAGCGAACCCTATCATGGACCTTCCTTATTAGTTCTGCTCATTTTCTGTTCATTTTATTCATGAATGTCTCTAATCATCAGGGTATTGCGTTCTTCAGTTCTCCTCTTTTTCTTCGGCTTTGAAGACTCTAAGTGCGAGCTTGCTTTGTAATGCAGTTAGGTGCTTTCCGAAATTTGTATCCTATACACCTTCAGTGCATCTTCCTAATTTATTCCTCAGTTGGAAGAACCTAATTTGTTATCTCCCACAGTAGGTTGTTACTTATAGTGTCTAGCTGTCAGTAATAACAATACTAATTACGTTCGAGTTTTACTATTTAAATTACAGACTAATCTTATTTGAACAACTGTTTAAGTCCAGAAGAGTTTGTACAACTGTTTTATCCAAGTCTGAAACTCTTCATCAGTGTTCATCCATTACCTCACCAAGGAATTAACTGAGAATGTACAGGTGTCACAACAAATACTTAACTTCTCAACCGCTGAAGTGGTTACATCGCAAATTATTTAACCGTAAATGTGTAAACTATGGGATATCCGATAAGGGGTATGAATATTAGGCGCTCAGTATGAGATCGTAAGGTTCAAGATTCAAATCTTGACGAAGTTTTGCGTGCACTCCACCAAGTCACATGCTGGAATAAGGCGCATACCTAGTGCTTCTCAATAGTTTCTTAACTTCGATCAGTTCGTGATGTGAATTATGCAGTAAAAATAGTTGTCTTTGTTGAAAGAAGTAAAAACTGTTTAACAGAAAATATAAAAATAATTTCAACTAAGTCTTATTCTATATTTGTTTTGATTTATGATCAGAATTCACTTCGTGAGCATTCTTCTACCAGTCTTATAATTTCAGTAGTATATATATTAGTAGGTGCATAAATTTCAATGTCATCTTATTTCAATGTGTTCAAAGAACATGACAATTATTTAATTAAAACAAATCTGAACAATACAAATCTGTTGCATTATTTGAATACCTTGTCACTGTTTCTGACATTAGATCCCAAGAACTCACTTGAATAAAGGTCCTAATTTTGGATTTCATACTTTCGAGTATGGGCTGATCAGTTGACCTTGAGATTATGTTTCTCACTCGGAAAGTCCTTGACTGTTATTGGTTGATGTATTGTTTTAGTACGCTTTTTTATGGTCCTCCCAAGGACGTTTCTATCATGTATAAATAAACTCGATTTGTGTGCTTGTAAACCTCAATTTTTGTGTACTTGTACAATACACTTTCAACGCCATAATAAGACTTCCTCTACTTAGTGGGGCGTTGAGACGCTCAGATAAGAGTAGCCTATCGTGTTACTGGATCACGCTTACCGACCTGAGGTGAACTCGTAATAGTTTCAAGCAAATCATTTGACGAGCATAACAGTTACTATTATCTTTAATGTGAATTTGATAACACTTTGAAGATCAATGGTGAAATTCATGATTCTTACAAGTCCCAAAAACCCAGCAGTGCTGGGTTCTAGTCCTAGAGTGAAGATTTTAACTTTAAGATGCAAAAGTACGTCCATGCGCAGATGAGTCCCGGATCGGTCAGAACGCGTCCGACTAGATTTAGATAACCGAGAAAATTATTGTTTAACTTACCCTTCGACTTAAACTTGTTTTTAGTAGAATAATTCATTCTATAAATACTAACCTGTTATGCCTGGACGTAAACACGTCAACTTGATATGCTTGAACTATTACGAGTTTCCCTTAGTCGGAATACGAGAGCGAGGATCGAGGATCTGGCGACACGACATGCTACTCAAATACGATTATCCCAACCCCCATATTAAGTAAAAATAAGAAGACTTGATATGAAGTAGAACCTGTATCCCACAAGCATCCAGAAAGTACGAGATTCGAGTCCAGAGGAGAATCAGGATTCTGGACTAGGGATCCAAGACCGGGTCTCGGTCCTGGTTCTGGTCATACAATGTTACAGATAATGCGTATTTATACATTTTGGTCGAATGAGAAACAGCATCGAAGTGTGTGACATTGACAGTTAAGACGACCAATAGGAAGTAACATTTGAAGTGACATTGACAGTCAGGACCACCAATGAAAAATAACATTGGAGTACGTGACATTGATATCTAGGACGACCGTAAAATTGACCAGTAGGAATCAACCAATAGGCATTGACCGATAATTCTCTTAGGATATTGGATGAATATCGTAACACCTCCATCTGAAGAAATTGAAGCGACACACGACGGTTTATTCGGATCTGGACTGTTGTTTGCTGCTGTCGGAGAGGATATTTCTTGAACGAAGATGAGGATCAGTCTTGCGTACTTCTGAGCGGATTGGCTTCTTCTTGTATGCTTGATTACGAGACATCCGCTAATTGAACCAATCTAACAGATCGATTTTAGATCGGCTATCAGATTGAGCTGAAGTGGGGTGGACCGTATATAGCAGGGGGTACAGTTACCCTGGTTAGTTGACAGATGGAATATACACAACGTCAGATTGACTTGATCCACCATAGTCGTGTCACGATGCAGCTTGGTATCCAGCAACATTTTCATTAGTTCAGCTGCTGCTCGGGTAATAATTCAATTCTTGAAGGAACAATTCAAATCCCACCCCCTTCGCCAGTTGTTATGTTCGTCAATAGGTACGCTTGAAGCTTTTACGAGTTTACCTTAGTCGATAAACGCAAACGAGACAATTAACAGCTTCAATCCTTGAATCCTAAAACTGTAAAACAGAAGTCTTGATAAGCGTAGAAAGTATATTCTACAAAAACACCCAGCAATCACAACACAATACAATCAAGCACACAACTCTCGTTTATTTATACATCATAGAAACGTCCTTGGGACAGTCAAGGAAAACAGCACACTAAAATAGACAGCAGCCAATCACAGTGAAGGGTGTTCCTGGTGGGAAATGAAATCTCAACCCATGCTTGCAAACGTAAAATCTAAAATCGGGGCATTTATCAAACGAGTTTTGGGGATCTACACATCCCTAACATAACCATTTTATTTGAGAATTCTTCCATCACTTAAAAATGTTTATATGATGTCAAAAAGTAGAATACGATTAAAGAATGTTAGGTACGGCCAGATCAAAAGATGTCACAAATCCATGAAGTCACTAACAGATGGACTGAGCCATATCGGTAGATGTAGACTAGCTGGTTGGAATCCGTGAGATGATACTAATCGATAGTTAGAAACCTTGAATGACATGGCTCAAAATCGTTTGCAATGACTCAGGTGTATCCATTCTCTTTGCGATCTCTCTGATGTTAATCCTTTGAATTACTCATCACATTTATCTTTCTCTTCTCAGATTTTGCTTCACTGAATTATACATCTCGAATCATATCATCGATCCCTAATCTTTTCGATTACTACTCATATTTCTAATACCTCTACACTTCTTCGGAGTTTGAATTGAGCTATTAAGATATAGTAACTCAAACTAATGTACGCACGCATCTGCGAAGTTCAATGTTGTAGTTGACTAACTGATTAACTTACTTGAATCGTTTTTAAGTTTGTTTAATTGAAAGGATTTCTTTGATTGATTGATTGATTGACTGACTGATTGATGTTTTTCCGTTTGTTATTTTCAAGGTACGTAAAAGAAATCATACAGATTTATGCCCAGTACATTTAGTTGCTTATAAAGGAAATTTAGCTATGTTACATTATCTAATACAAAATGGAGTCAATGTACACCAGCCTACTTGTACATTACAACGTCGTCCTGTACATTATGCTGCTCTACGTCAACAAGTTTCATGTCTTCAAATGTTGGTATGCGTTTTTTTCATAGATGATGTTTAATTGGTTGATTAATGAAATTGTTTTTTTTTCACAAAATTAGACATTTTCATCTTTGTATCAATATTGAATAAGTTATATATTGTGATATTTTTTGGTGGTTTTAAGTTGACTGTGGTCCCAAAAAATACTCTGTCCATGTTATGCCTGCAAGTAAACACGTCAACTTGATATACATGAACTATGACGAGTTTATCTAGTCGAAAAAACGAGAGCGAGGATCGAGGATCCGGCGATACGACATGCTACTCAAATCCGATTATCTCGATCCCCATATTGAGTAAAAGAAGACAAGACTTGATGTGAAATAGAACATGCATTCTAAAAGCATCCAGAAAGTACGAGGTCCGAATCAAGAAGAGAATCAGGATCCTAGACTAGGGATTCTAGACCGAGCCCTGGTCCTGGTCGTGGTCATAAAACTTTACAGATAATGCATATTTATACATTTTAGTCGAATGAGAAACAGTATCAAAGTCTGTGACATTGACAGTTAAGGCGACCAATAGTAAGTAACATTTGAAATGACATTGACAGTCTGGATGACCAATAAGATACAACATTGAAGTATTTGACTTTGACAGTTAAAACGACCATAATTTTGACCAATAGAAGTCGACCAATAGGAATTGACCAATAATTCTCTTATGATATTGGATGAATATCCCAACAGTCCGAAAAGTGTATATCGATTTATCGTAGGGCAGTTAAAAAAACAGGCATTTTTGCCTTGTTTAAAATGTCTTATCCATCATATCTGACGGATAGTTGAAAATAGAACAGTTGAATAAATTCAAAAAGTTTCGCAATTTTTACAATCCATCATTTACGACAAGTCACTTTTTTTCATCCAGTAACCTTTTGTACAAAAATCCGATTTAGAATTCAAAAGTGAATTTAACAATTCATCAGTAGGAATAGGTTGTATTTTAGTAAGAAAGTCTGTTAAATACTTGCATTCATTTTGTGATTAATGAGAGATATGTTTTGTATGTCTATTCCTCAGTTCTGATCGACTAGTTCAAGTTACTCATCATCATTTTATACTGTGTTGAAATGTTAAACAGTTGGAAACAGTCAATCAACAAGATACTCTTTCTATCATGGTTGTTCTTGGATAAAAGTATTAATCAACGGTGTTTTTCTCACTCTTCAACAAATAAAACAATCAACTTCTTCAGATTAATTATATCGATAAGATGAAATCGATCAGACACTTATTCAGACAGTCGACTTTCCGATAACGAGCTAAGGAAAATTTCAATGAAATGTTCTGACTAGTAAGGGTCAGACTTGTTTCAATAGTTTTAAAGAATCATCATCGACAGCCAAGGTGAATTCGATGCAGATAGGAGGGCATGGATCGGTTAAGCAAGGGTTGAATTTCTACAATTGAAAAATATCTGGAACTCCAAACAACTTTCAACCAAAATCAAAATCAAGATTTTCAATACAAATGTCAAGACAATTCTACTGTATGGAGTGGAAACTTGCAGAACTACGAAAGGCATCATCCAGAAGATACAAGTGTTTATGAACAGTTGTTCATACAAAATACTTCGTATTCGTTGGCCAGACACCATCAGCAACAACGTACTGTGGGAGAGAACAAATCAGATTCCAGTGGAGGAGGAAATCAGGAAGAAACGGTGGAAGTGGATAGGACACACATTACGAAAAGCATGTAACTGCGTCACACAGGAACACATTACGTTGATAAATAGAGAAAGATGTGAGAGGAATGAATAAACATTGAACAGAACTGGAGAGGGAAGCTCAGGACAGACAGAGTTGGTTGGAGAAAACTGGTGGTCGGCCTATGCTCGATTGGGGGTAACAGGCGTAAGTAAGTAAGTAATCAATCATTCTGTATTACAAAGTGAATGAAATCAAAAATGTTGATCACTGAATGTCAACTTAACAGTTTCTGGATGGCCTTGTAGGTGAACAAAGCAGATGATGATGATGAGACACCGGTTAAAGGCTTCTTATTTCTCACATAAACTTCTTCATCGATGTTAGTAAGTAATGCAAATTAATTTCATTGAAAACGACCATTCTCATAAAAAACAGTTCATCTATATACATGCATGTATTTTAGTTAAATGCTGGAGCACAAATTGATGCACGTGATACATTTGGCAATACTCCATTGCATTATGCAGCTGAAGATGGAGATGGTGGATTGCTTAGTCTTCTGTTGAACAATGGTGCTTGTGTAGATGCTCAGGTAAGATGGTTCTTGAAAATTGTAATTTTCTTTACTAAATTGCTCATCACTGTTTTTATCTTTTTCCACCTAAGCTTATCTCTTGGATTATAGCTAATACTGCTTATTATCTCTACTACTATGGGATTTAAATTGACAATTCCATCTGTTTGTGCTAATGTAGTATGGAAACTTGAACTGATGTATGTAGGTACGAAATTCTACACTTGCAATGGGGCAAGTGCATTCATTCTTTGTGTTCTCTCAAATCCTAATCTTCTTGATTCTTCAACCCCTCTAGTTCTGACTTTCTAAACTTTTCTCACTGAATTATACTTCTTGAATAATATCTTCTAATCTTAACCTCTCCGATTACTTCTAATACCTTTACTACCTATACTACGATTGGATTTGAATCGACAGTTCCATCTGTTTGTGCTAATGTAGTATGGAAACTTGAACTGATGTACGTAGGTACGAAGTTCTACGTTGTAGCTAACTGACTGACTGACGGACAGAATATTCTGCATCTTATATTATCTGAAACATTTCTACTGTATGGAGAAGATGTTGAAGAACAATGAAATTCGTCATCCAGAAGATACAGGTGTTTATCAACAGTTGTTTGTGGAAAGTATATTTTATATACATTATCCAGACACTATCAGCAACAACTTATTGTGCGGAAGAAGAAATCAGGAAGAAGTGGTTAAGACACATATTGAGGAAAGCACACAACTGCGTCACAAAACAAGCCCTAACTTGAAATCCTCAAGGCTAACGGAAAAGTGGAAGACAAAAGAACACGTTACACAGAGAAATGGAGACAGATATCAGAAGAATGGACAACAAGTGGATAGACCTAGAAAGGAAGGCCTAGAACAGAGTAGGTTGGAGAATTTCGGTCTTCAGTGGTCTATGCTCTTCTGAGGGGTAACAGGTGATAGTAGGATCTAATGTTAAAGAAAATAAGTGGTTGATGACAAATATAAACTTTTGTGGACGTTAGATCCCCAGAACTCGCTTGATAAATATCTTTCTTGCGGATTTATTTCAGGAACCGATCAGTTGACCTTCAGACCACATTTCCAACCAGGAAAATCCTTGGTTGTGATTGATTACTGTGTCATTTTAGTGTGCTATTTCTGTGACTGTCACAAGCACATCTCTATAGAGTATAAATAAACTCAATTTGAGTGCTGGGATTCATTGTGTGCTGGTTGGGTGTTTGTAGAATACAATTTCTACGCCATATCAAGACTTCTTGCTGATTCCATTTGGTCAAGGGATCACAGTAGCCTACCTGGACACCGGTTCATTGATTTGTTCTCTCATAAGCATACCTAGAGACAACAGTAACAAAAACAAGTCGTGCAAAGTAACCAGTTTTATTCAGTGATATTTATCATTCTTGAGAATTTAGGCTTTCAGGATTGAATATTGATCAGTCGCTGTTGAACCAAGTAAATAGTAACTCGAGTCACATTGATGTTTCAATCCATAAGTGTTGGATTCAAATCAACACTGCTGATCCCGTTAAATCAATCCGACGACATGTAAGTAGACCAAAATGTACTTAATTGACACCATTGCTAACTGCAATTCATTCTTATCAGAAACTATCAAGTAAATGACTTTGAAGTAATTCTTTTAAATCTGATTGATACTCGTAAAACTATTTTCAAAATGTTTAAATTGGTAGGTTTTTCATCGAAGAACTTATGACATTACATAATCACTGCGAGCGGAAAAAACTATCACTACATTGAATAGGTTCAATAAGAGAACCATTGAATACCATAAAAGGCTAGATAAATTTTCCTTGATTGAAAAAGCATCATATTTAGATAAAAACTCTACTTATTTAAACAAGTAGTATGTAAATTCAGTTGAAAATTGATTTCCATTATTCTCCATTCTTGACAAAATTAAACAAGAATGGAGAGAGTGGACATACTAGACGGACACCATTCGAACTGTCACCGGAATTCTTTACTTCAAGTGGTGTCCGTCATGGATGTCCACTCTCTTCATTCTTGTTTAATTTTGTCATAGAAATGTTGCTAGATATAACATTATCCTCTTCCGACTTTTCCGGAGTCGACTTTCTACCAGGGAAATCGCTTACCGACCTAGAATATGCCGATGACATAGTTTTATTCGGTGAAGACGCTGACAAAATGCAGAGTCTACTGACTACTCTGAGCAACAATGCAAGCATGTTCGGGATGCGGTTCTCCTCGTCAAAATGAAAAATGTTGATTGAAGATCGGGTTGCGTCGGCACCTGAACTAGCGATAGGGAGTGAAGTAGTCGAGCGTGTTGATCACTTCACTTATCTAGGGAGTCTCATCAGCGCTGATAGCCTGGTGACTGACAAAATCTGAGCTCGGATACAGAATGCTCGATTGACCTTTGCCAACCTGCGTCACTTATGGCGCAGGCGAGATATCCGCTTGCTGTCTAAAGGACGGGTGTACTGCGAAGCAGTTCGCTCCGTCTTACCTTCTGGCTATGAAAAATGGCCAGTGAGAGTAGAAGATATTCGTAGGTTACCGGTTTTCGATCAAAGGTGTCTTCGAAGCAGTGCTCGTATATCATGGGACACCCGAGTGAGCAACGCTGTTATTAGGAATCGGGTGCTAGGTAAGAATGGAAGATCAAGAGATGAAGTAATGAAACTTCATCAGTTGAGGTGGTTGGGACATGTGTTGCGTATGCCTAACCACCGACTGCGTCGACGAGCTTTGTTTTGTAGTGTAGGAGTAGGTTGGAAGAAAGGTAGGGGCGGCCAGACCTAAACATGGCAGAAATCCATGAATTCATTCACAAGTTGACTGAATCATGTCGGTAATTGTCGACTACCTGGTTGGGGTCCGCGAGATAATAATAATCGATGGTTAGCGACCTTGAATGACATGGCTCAAAACGTTTGCAATGCCATGAGGTAGGTGCATTTATTCTTTATGTTCTCTGAAATCCTAATCTTCTGGATTCTTCAACCCCTCTAGTTTTGTCTTTCTAAACTTATCTCATTGAATCATACTTCTTGAATAATATCTTCTAATCCTAACCTCCCCGATTACTACTTCTACTACTACTACTATTGGATTTGATTTGACATTTGCTTCTCTGTGCTGATGTGGTATGGCAACATGAACTGATGTACTTACGTACAAAGTTCTACGTTGCATCTAACTGACTGACTGAGTATTCTTTTTGATATTGCATGTAATCCAGTTTATTTTATTAATACAAGAACATTCAAAACTAAAACCGTAACCAAATAGTTTATTGTCAATATAGTTTCGAACACTTCACTAATGTCTGAATGCACACTGAAATTTGTACTGCTGATGATGTTGTATTCTGAAGAACAATAAAAGCATCACAACCAAAACATCCAGCTCAAAGAGAACGAAACTCCATCACAATCTTCTGCCAAAGAGCTAAAAATTTTCTCCATCTGTTGTGAATGAGAACACAGGTGGGGCAACCGAATTGTAGTTAACGAAAATTAAATGATTCACTCAGTAAAATAGGAAAACCATATCGTAAACGGTTAATTTGCAAACCTTCAGTCAATCATCAATCCATTGTCTGACATTTCACTTATTCATGCATTTTATACAAATTCCATTGTGTTCCCACTCTTTTGTTTTCTTGATCTTCCCCCATCTTCTGCTGTCAGACATTACGTTGACAATCACGTCATATACTACTTATAAGTAGCGCGCACCACACATCATCTCAAACACACACACTAATACATTTAAAGTTCAATTTATTTAATAAATGAAAAAATCAGTTTTTTGTGCCTTACACAAAAGATTCACAATCTATCATTGTACAGTGAACAATTCTACTTACTGACTAATAACTAGCTAAATGATGTTGTACAGTATGTTTGTAATCTTTTAAATTTAAGGGGGAGCATTATTCACTTATGGGAAAAACTGAATCAAGTCTACCTACCAATTATTGCTTACATCATTATCATAATCATGATTATGTTACGCCTGTACGAAAAACACGTCAACTTGATATACTTGAACTATTACGAGTATACATTAGTCGGAATACGAGAGCGATGATTGAGGATCCGGTGACGCGACATGCTACTCAAATCCGATTATCCCAACCCCCTTATTGAGTAAAAATAAAAAGACTTGATATGAAGTACAACCTGTATTATATAAGCATCCAGAAAGTACGAGGTCCGAATCCAGAAGAGAATCAGGATCCCGGACTAGAGATCTGAGACCTTGTCCGGGTCCTGGTCCTGGTCCTGGTCATGAAATGTTACAGATAATGCGAATTTATACATTTTGGTGGAATAGGAAACAGCATCGAATTCTGTGACATTGACAGTTAAGACGACCAATAAGAAGTAACATTTGAAATGACATTGATAGTCAGGACAACCAGTAAGAAACAAGATTGGAGCACGTGACATTGATATCTAGGACGATCATAAACTTGACCAGTAGGAATTGACCAATAATTCTCTTAGGATATTGGATTAAATATCCTAACAACCACACTTAATTTATTCTTGCTGTGAAACATTTTCATCCATTCATCGTGTCTGTCTTTTTATCTCTCGTGATCAAAATTACTCTTGATATTACCTTTGGTGTAAAATATGAAAACTACCAGGTCGATCTGGTTTCAAGATCATTGTGGTGTGTGGTATTGAGAAATATCCTAAACTAAATTCAGCACAGCTGCTCACTATTTTTTGTTATAAAAATTAGTCCCGTTTTGATAAGTTTTGATAGAACAGTGAGAAGACGTAATCGATCTGAAAAATGTGATGTATTTGCGCGCTATCCATTTCTAACAATCTGATCACATACATGTACACACTTGACAAGGCATTTTATATGAAGATGAGTAAAAGGTCAATTAAATAAAAGTTCAAATAGACATAACGTAATGATAATTGTAAATAAAGGAGAGAGAAAATTAACGTAATATGAAAAGAATAAGAAGGGGTAGGAAAATTGTCACATTACCCTAGGCTTAAAGATTACCAGGGTAAATTCAAGGTTATAACAAATTGTTTCTGTACACATTAGAGGGGAGGGTTTAATTTTCTAATAGCCAAGGCCTCCATTAACTCTCAAAATTCGTGTCCTTCAATATTTCTATACAATGTTTTGAAGGTTGTTTTGATGTTAATCTTATGCCCTGTCTCAATTGTGTTTGGCGATCGATGAACATGGTTTTCTGTTTCCAACGCTAATCGGATCATCTGACGTTAACTAATTTTGAAGCCACTTAGGCGTACATGTTCCCCATAACCCTTGATTGCAAAGTCCGATTACTTTACAAGTAAATATATGTGACCAGATTGCTCGAAATGTATAGCGCAAATACATCACATTTTTCAGATCAATTACGTCTTCTCACTACTTTTTGTTACTCAAAAGTTCACAATATCAATAATATCTTTCAAACTGTTTTTTTTTTCTTCAGGATATCACTAATAAAACACCATTAATGAAAGCTGCACGTAGTGGTAAAGTTTGGGCTGTTCGACGACTTCTGCTATTCGGTGCTAATGTGAATGTAAAAGATCGTAATGATGAAACAGCATTGCATTTTGCTTGTCGACAAGGATCCACAGAAATTACTAGAATGTTAATTAAAGTAAGTAAATTCTAGTAATCAAACATTTTGAAATCTTCCTGATATTGGGCTGGTAACCTGGAATAAAAATCCGATTGTAATTTGGTTAATTTGAATTATTTATTTTCTGGTTAGCATATTTTTAGCGAGTCAGTTTTCTACGAGATGCGGTCGTCAATTCAATGCCCAAACGTATCCTTTTATCCGAGCTTGGGGCCTGTGATAGCCCCAAAGGGGACTCCAGGCGGAGTTCGATTGTAATTCACCCATGTTTTATGTTTCAATTCATTGATCGAATCCATGAGGATATCTATTATGCTTATCTTGCCATCGTTAGCCCTGGAATTCACTTGGTCTTGGTGTTAACGATAGATTAAATAAAGGTTAAGGTTGGTCAGGCCAACACTTTGTATCACTTGATGCCATTATTGACTGTTTAGCTTAATTACTTTGTGATGTGTCCATTCTCGAAAGTAAATTATCATCAGGTAAAAATCTTATCTGATATGATTGGAAGCTAATCCCAATATCGTCGTTGCATATATGGACATATAATGGATTGGAACAGTGTTAAAATACTGGTTAGGGGGGGGAGTATAAAGAACACTGGAGAATTTTGAATCACCTCACAGAAGGAAACTCCATCTAAAATAATAGAGAATTTCTAGAAGCTTGAGACATAGGTCAATCACCAAATCAACAAACACATCGACATTGACCCAGTTTATCGACCAATCCGGAAAATCATAGGCAAAACTAGGATCAAGGAACAGATCAAAGTAGTATACAATTAAAATAAAGGTGCAAACAACGACAGGTTCAAGGTCACCAACATCCAGTTGAGATCGCGAAGTCAACAGAACAAACTATGAGTCTCATAGGCAGAAGAATTCGCGTAATTCACTTCTATCTGAAGTTTGTGCTGATGATGATGTTGGTCAAAAGTAAACAATCTGTTATGATATTCATCCAATATCCTAAGAGAATTATTTGTCAATTCCTGTTGCTTAATTCATACTGGTCAATTTTATGGTCGTCTTAGATATCAATGTCACGTGCTTCAATGTTGATTCTTATCGGTCGTCTTAACTATCACTGTCACTTCAAATGTTACTTACTATTGGTCGTCTTACCTGTCAATGTCACAGACTTCCATGCTGTTTCTCATTCCACCAAAATGTATAAATACACATTATCTGTAACATTTTGTGACCAGGACCAGGAGCCGGTCCCGGATCCCTAGTCCGGAATCCTGATTCTCTTCTGGATTCGGGCCTCGTACTTTCTGGATGGTTGTAGAATACAGATTCTACTTTACATTCAAGTCTTGTCTTCTTTTACTCAATAAGGGGGTTTGGATAATCGGATTTGAGTAGCATGTCGTGTCGCCGGGTCCTCGATCCTCACTCTCGTATTCCGACTCTGTGAACTCGTAATAGTTCAAGTATATCAAGTTGACGTGTTTACGTGCAGGCGTAACACAATCAAAGCTCCACAACTTAAATATCCCCAGCTCAAAGAGAACGATACTCCACCACAATCAGTGTATTGAATCATTATCTCTATCTAAATATATCAGTTTTCTTACCATCATTCTATACTTAACATTCGGAAATTTTATTCATTTTTTTTAAGACAATGTTTCTGATTAGTTAGTTAACTCACTTGAGAAACACTATCTAAAATGTAAAACACTGAATATTTGAATTTGACTGAAAATTTCAAAAGATATCTGTACTTTCCATGGACAATTTTACATACTTTTCAGTCAGTCAGTTGCAACGTAGAACTTCGTACGTATGTACATAAGTTCATGTTGCCATACCACATTAGCACAGAGACGCAAATGTCAAATCAAATCCAATAGTAGAGGTATTAATGGTAGTGAAGAAGATTAGGGTTTGGAGATATTATTCAAGAAGTATTATTCAGTGAGAAAAGTTTAGAAAGACAAAGGTAGAGGTGCTGACCATTCCAGAAGATTGGGATTTGAGAGAGCTCAACGCATGGATGCACTTGCGCCACTGCACACGATTCTGAGCCATTTCGTTCAACGTCTCTAACTATTAGTGACTGTTGCCTGGCGGACCCTAACCAGATAGCCTACATCTACCGAAATGACTCAGTCCACTTGTCAGTGACTTCATGGATTTCTTCCATGTTTTGATCTGGCCGCCCCTAGCTTTCTTTCAACCTACTCCTACACTACAAAACATAACTAGTCGAGGTAGTCGGTGGTTAGGCATTCGTAACACATGTCCCAACCACCTCAACTGATGAAGTTTCAATACTTCATCTATTGATCTGCCATTCTAACCTAGCAACAGTTTCCTAACGACAGCATTGCTTACTCGGTTGTCCCACGATATACGAGCAATGCTTCTAAGACATCTATGATCGAATACTATTAACCTACAAATATCTTCTACTCTCACTGGCCATGTTTCACAGCCATAAAGTAAGACGGAGCAAACTACTGCGCAGTACACTCGTCCTTTAGTCAGCAAACGGATATCTTGTCTACGCCATAAGTGACGTAGGTTGACAGTCGAGCCTTCTGTATCCGTGCTGAGATTTCGTCAGCCACCAGTCCCACGATATACGAGCAATGCTTCTTAAACATCTAAGATCGAATACTAGTAACCTACAAACATCTTCAACTCTTAACGGCCATGTTTCGCATCCATATATGAGAACGCAGCGAACTACTGCGCAGTACACTCGTCCTTTTGTTAGCGAACGGATATCTATTGACAAAAGCAAATCGAGCTTTCTGTATCCGTTCTGAGATTTCGTCACACACACCAGGCCATCAACATTGATGAGACTGTCATACATACTTTTACATGATACAGTTTCAAATGTTAATTCATTGTACTTTATTTCTTAATGAAAAGATTTAATTTATTTAGTGCTGAATGAATATTCAATGAATGAGCCGTTAAAAATGTCACACTTGAACAAGTTGTAGTTTTTAATTGCTATTCAAGGTTATTCACCCGTCCTCAAGGTCATGTTTAAATCTTTCTATTAGAAAATGAAAAATATTTATCGTCAATGTTAACCATAGAAAATGTTGAACTTGTCGATATTCATCATCTAAGAACATTCATGATTGGAAGAAATTGTGTATTCTTTAAGAAATTCAAAGAGTCTGATCGTTTATTCAAACTATTTTGTTACAGAAATACTGTTGTCTATGAGTTGGATGTTTTGGTTGTGGAGCTTTCATTGTTCTCCTTCTGAACAACTTACTTACTTACTTACGCCTGTTACCCCCAATGGAGCATAGGCCGCTCACCAGTTTTCTCCAACCAACTCTGTCCTGGGCTTCCCTCTCCAGTTCTGTCCAATGTTTGTTCATTCCTCTCATATCTTTCTCTATTTCTTGGCGTAATGTGTTCCTTGGCATTCCTCTTTTCCTTTTGCCTTGAGGGTTCCATGTGAGGGCTTGTCTTGTGACGCAGTTAGGTGCTTTTCATAGTGTGTGTCCTATCCACTTCCACCGCTTCTTCCTCATTTCCTCATCCACTGGAATCTGACTTGTTCTCTCCCACAGTTCGTTGTTGCTGATGGTGTCTGGCCAACGAATCCGAAGTATTTTGCGTAGACAACTGTTCATAAACACTTGTATCTTCTGGATGATGCCTTTCGTAGTTCTCCATGTTTCCGCTCCATACAGTAGAACTGTGTTGACATTTGTATTGAAAATCCTGATTTTGGTTTTGGTTGAAAGTTGTTTTGAGTTCCAGATATTTTTCAGCTGTAGAAATGCAGCCCTTGCTTTGCCAATCCGCGCCCTCACATCTGCATCGGATCCACCTTGATTGTCGATGATTCTGCCAAGATATGTAAAGGTGTTAACTTCCTCCAAGGCATCTGCATCAAGAGTGAGTGATTTGGTTGGTGCATGTTGTGTTGCATCGGAGAATTTTGCTTTTCCCTTTATGTATGTTGAGACCTACTGCTGCAGAGGCTGCTGCTACACTGGTCGTCTTCTCTTGCATTTGTTGTTGAGTGTGCGATAGAAGAGCCAGGTCATCTGCGAAGTCCAGATCGTCCAGCTGCGTCCTAACTGTCCAGTTGATACCGTGCTTCCCTCCAGATGTTGACGTCTTCATAATCCAGTCGATGACCAGGAGAAAGAGAAAGGGTGAGAGTAAGCAACCTTGCCTGACACCGGTCTTCACCTCAAACGAGTTTGTCAGCTGACCTCCGTGTACGATTTTGCAGTTGAATCCATCATAAGAATTCCGTATGATGTTGACTATTTTCTCAGGCACCCCGTAGTGTCTAAGAAGCCTCCACAGTGTTTTCCTATCAACGCTATCGAATGCTTTCTCGTAGTCGATGAAGTTGATGTAGAGTGGTGAGTTCCATTCAATTGATTGTTCCACAATGATCCGTAATGTAGCAATTCGGTCAGTACACGATCGATCCTTACGAAATTCGGCCTGTTGATCTCGAAGTTGGGCGTCTACGAAGTCCTTCATTCTGTTTAACAATACCCTGTTGAAGACTTTGCCTGGTATTGAAAGAAGAGTGATGCCCCTGTAGTTCTCACACTTGCTGAGATCGCCTTTCTTTGGTATTTTGATCAGGTATCCTTCTTTCCAATCTGATGGTACTTGTTCCTCATCCCAAATCTTCTTGAAGAGAATGTGAAATATTTTCGCAGTTGCTTCCACATCTGCTTTCATTGCCTCTGCTGGAATGTTGTCTGGTCCTGCTGCTTTGCCGCTCTTGATTTGTCTGATGGCTATACTGATCTCCTGAACCGTAGGTGCGCCAATATGAATTGGGAGGTCCTTGGATGCTGCTTCGATGTTGGGTGGGTTCAGTGGAGCTGGTCGATTCAATAGTTCCTTAAAGTGCTCTACCCACCTATTTCGCTGTTCTTCAGTGTTGCTGATTATTTTCCCATCCTTGCTTTTCACTGGTCGTTCTGGTTTACGATAGTTCCCGGCGAGCTTCTTTGTTGTTTCGTACAATTGTCTCATGTTTCCTTCTCTTGCAGCCTTTTCCGCCGTCATTGCTGGATCTTCCACATATTTCAGTTTGTCAGCTCTGATGCTCTTCTTCACTTCCCTGTTTGCTTTTGCGGTAACTTTCTCTGCTCTTGTTCGGCTGACATTCACTGCTGCCTTCTTGTTCCTCCTTTCTTCAATTTTTTCAAGAGTACCAACAGAGATCCATTCCATGTGATGGTGCTTCTTGCGACCAAGGACCTCGTGCCATGTTGAAGTGATTGCCTCCTTAATCCCTTTCCAATTGTACTCCAATGTTGCTTCCTCTCCATTGAGTAGATCCTGAAAGGCCTGGAACCTATTGGTAAGGGCTATCTTGAATTCATTGAGTTTTACGGTATCCCGAAGAAAGGCCGTATCCTTTGGTGAACATTTATCGACGATTGACTGCAGCCTTTCGTAGAATTGATCTTTAACGTCGTCATTGTAGTCATTGGTAGGTGCATAACATTGGATGACGTTCATTGTAATGTCCTGTTTCTTTGTTTTGAAAGATGCTTTGATGATCCTAGGTCCATGAGATTCCCATCCTATCAGTGCCTTTTGTGCATGTTTGGACAGCATCAGTGCAACTCCTTGTGTATGTGTAGCGTTTTCCTCTTCATAACCAGAGTATAACAGCAGTTCCCCTGAAGCAAGTCTCAGTTGTCCTACCTGTGTCCAATGCGTTTCACTGATGCCGAGCACCTCGAGGTTGTATCTTTTCATTTCTGCCGCAACTTGAAATAGTCTTCCAGTCTCCCACAATGTACGAACTTTCCATGTACCTAAAAAAATGGTTGCTCTGGTTGTCAGAAGAGGCATCGGCCCCGTGACTTCCGAGGGAACTCGGCTTTCATCACGAGACGTCATAATTCTTCTTCCAACTCCCAGGGCAGAGTTAAAATGGTTTGAATTATTTTTTCTGGTTAGCGTTTTTTTGGCAAGTGAGATTTCAACGGAATGGGGTCGCCAACCACATGTCCAACCCTCCTCCTTTATCCGGGCTTGGGACCGGCAGTAGCCCCTAAGGTTCTACTGGCGGAGTTCTTCTGAACAACATCATCAGCAAAAACTTCAGATAGAAGAAGTGAAGCGCATTCGAATTTCTCCACGTTTAACCTGTAGCTTGTTCTGTTAACCTCGATCTTCAGCTTCGTTTATGTGAACACCAATTATCAGTCAAACGCCATGACAACGCTTCGCTTATATCAATACACACCGGCAGTTATGGACATACATTCGATTGGAACAATGTAGAAATACTGGATAGGGGGAGGACAAAGAATACTAGAGAATTTTTAGAAGCTTGGCACTCAGGTCAATCAGTAATCAACAAACACATCGACATTGACCCAATTTATCAACCAATCAGAAAAATCGTAGGTGACATATGATCAAGAAACAGATCAAAAGAGGGGAAATACAATTAAAACAAAGGTGCAAACAACAACAGAATTAAGGTCAATAACAACCGATCAAGATCCAGGTCGACCGAACAAGCAACGGATCAAATGTGGAGAAACTTGAGTACTTCACTTCCATCCGAGGTTTTTGCTGATGATGTTGTATTCCTAAGAACAATGAAAGCTCCAAAACCAAAACATCCAGCTCACAGAACACGTAACACCACCACAATCATCCACCTGAGCTACAAATCTTCTCCACCATTTCAAGACTTGTCTACAATGATCTTATTTAAAATAAACTGATGTTGGAACATTTTGAACTTAGTAGATTAAATTTTAGTCTGTGATCAGAGAAAGTTTTAGATTTCTTTACATGAACATAAAAATGCTATGACTAAGTAATGTCAACTACTGTTAAACTAATACGTTAGATATCAGTTCAATCACCTATTGACTTACTTAGTTACTTATTTACGCCTGTTACCCCTCAGTAGAGCATAGGTCGCCGACCAACAGTGTCCAACCTACTATGTCCTGGGTCTTCTTTTTCAGTTCTCTCCAACTGATATCCATTTGTCTCACGTCTGTCTCCATTTTTTTAGTGTAATTTGTTCTTTGGTCTCCCAATTTTCTTTAGGTTTTGCGGATTCCAAGTCAGGGGTTGTGTTGTAATATAGTTAGGTGGTTTCCTGAATGTGTGTCTTATCCACTTCCAGAGATTTTGACTGATTTCTTCTCCATCTGGAATCTGGTTTGTTCTCTCCCACAACAGGTTATTGTTGATAGTGTCTGGTCAACGGATCCTCAGTATCGGGCGTAGACAAACACTATAACCTCAAATAGACCGTGTGTACTATTTACCCCACTGATTATTATATTGACATATTTTTCCAACTAGAGTTATGGAGATCTGTTAGGATATTCATCCAATATCCTAAGAGAATTATTCGTCAATTCCTATTGCTTAATTCCTACTGGTCAATTTTATGGTCGTCCTAGTAGATATCAATGTCACGTGCTCCAGTGTTGTTTCTTATTGGTTGTCCTGACTATCAATGTCACTTCAAATGTTACTGCTTATTGGTCGTCTTAACTGTCAATGCAACAGAATTCGATGTTGTTTCTCATTCGACCCAAAAGTATAAATATGCATTATCTGTAACGTTTTATGACCACGACCAGAAATCGGTCCGGATCCCTGATTCTCATCTGGATTCGGACCTCGTACTTTCTGGATGCTAGTAGAATACATGTTCTACTTCATATCAAGTCTTGTCTTCTTTTACTCAATATGGGGGTTGGGGTAATCGGATTTGAGTAGCATGTTGTGTCGCTGGATCCTCGATTCTCGTCCTCATTTTCTGACTAGGTAAACTCATAATTGCTCAAGTATATCAAGTTGACGCGTTTACGTGCACCTTGAAATCATGAATCATTCATTGTTAGGGCACGGTTAGAAATGTGGCAGCAATGAAAGACGGCCGTTTCGTCCTGTTATGGGACTCATCAACATTGCACAACGACGAATCCTGCGAACACCTAATCTCTAGACCATTGAGCCGTCATCCAGCGGTAGTTACAGCCTACACATTTACAGGTTTGAACTCCACTGACCCTTATTTTCTCACTAAAACTCCAAGAATTTCCTCATAAAGCTAATCCTGCGAGTATCAGGCAGGAGTTGTGGATGCGCACTAATGCTGATGAGTAAGTAGTCCCATATCATGACGAAACGTTCATCTTTCAGTGCTTCCAGATTTCTAACAGTTGTCCAACAATGATTCATTCATGATTGGAGAAAAATAAAATCAATTTACACATGAAATGAATCGTATTTTGTGTGTGTATGTGTTAATAAATAGTTTAAAAATTTGTGAATAATTTAAATTTATACGCTACAATTTAATTTACAGATAAGTGAAATGAAATTTTTTCCAAAAAAAAATAATTCACATATCAAAATATTTTTTTTGATAATGTTTTGTTACAATGCACATATGTGTGAGAAAATTTACTGATAAATTGTATTTATGTATTTTTTTTAAGTTCAAGTTACAATATTTTCAAATTGCTATTGATCACTGATGATTGATCAAATCGGACCGCTTTTTTTGATATAGTTTAATAGTTTAATAGTGCTATTGTTTGAAGTTAATAAACAGAGAGATCATTTTGGGACCCCAAAATATCGTAACAGTGCTTGCTCACTTGTGACTACTAGCTTCGTAAGGAAATTCTCAGAGTTCTAGTGATGAGAAGACGTGACCAATGGAGTTCAACCCTGTCGGGTGTAGTAGGCAGTAACTAACTACCAAAGACAAATGGGTGAGGTCGCGTAAAATCCCTAGATCAATCAGAGTTTTTAGACAAAAACACCGTTGGATGCCGCCGGCTCAGTAGTCCGATGGTTAGGCGTTCACACACAACACCGAAGGTCCCGGGTTCGAATCCTGCGAGGTGCAGGAGTGGTGGATGCGCACTGCCTCTAAGGAGTCCCATACCAGGACGAAACTGTCGTCCGGTGCTTCCAGGTTTCTAATGATGGTCTAACAATGATTGATTGATGATTTCAAAAGAGAGATCATTGTTTGTCAAACTCAGTGTTTGTGATTGTTGACATATAATAACAATCAATATGTGTAACATTTAGTGGCTGTATAATGTTCGTTGTTGGGATTCACCATCCCAATGGTGATATAATTCCATATTTACAAACAATTGAGTCGTGGATGCACACTGCTGAGGAGTGCCATAACAGGACGAAACGGCCGTCATTCAGTGCTTCCAGGTTTCTAATGGTGGTCTAACATTGGTCGGTTTTTATGGTTTCAAATATGTGTAACTTTACTATTCATCAAAAAGTCAATTTCCTTCTCATTTTTTTTCACTCTCTCTCTCTGTTTCTCTCTGTCTTTTTAAATTACAGGCTGAATCACGTTTAAATGCACAAAATCAAATTGGTCTTACACCATTAATGGAATCTGTATCATATAATAAACGTGAAGCTGTTAGTTTATTAATTAAACAAAAAGATATTGATTTGTATAAAAGAGATTTTTGCACTGGTGATACAGCATTACATATTGCTGTAAAAAAAAATTATATCCATATTGTAGAAATATTATTAAGAGCAGGTGAGTAAGTATTCTATAGGTTTTTGTTTTAAAAAAAATGTTTCAACAATTGAACAATGTAGAACTTCATACATAAGTAAGTACATCAGTTCAGGTTGCCGCTATACCACTGCATTAGCACAAAGACGCAACTGTCAGTTTAAATCCAAGAGTGATAGCGATAGTAGAAGTATTAGCAATAATGGAGAGAAGATTAGGGAACGAAGATATGATTAGAGAAGTTTCTACCTTGACACGTGGTGGTCGTGATTGCCTATCGTGATGAACAAACTGAGCTATATTGGCTGGAACATATGTTCCTGCAAGGTTCTAACATGCCAGGCAGGTCGATTGGAGAGCGATGAGACTAATAGCAGCTACTCAAAGTCTGAGGGTTAAGTCGTACTTGTGACTGACTGTGGAGGGGTGTGATAGCAGTAAGGTGTTTCCCTCTGAAAACCAGAATCTGCAGCGATTCTGAATTCTCACAAGGAAGGAAGGGTTAGAAAAGGTCGACCCTAAAAATGTCACACCTCACCATACCTCACGGATTTCCGTCTCCTTGGGTAAGGGTGCCCACTAAGGTCTTTTAAGAGCGCAGCTAACACTCAAAAAATCCTTTCATAAAAAGGCCGTGCGTGACCGGCCTCAAGCAGTTGTCCCTTGGACTCTGCGGTCACGCTCCCAGGTCTCCAAGACCAACACTAATCTATCTTCCTTTTCAGGTCCCTCAAGAAACAACCTTCCACGTTGTAGGCAGCCGGGAAATGACAGTCGCCCTCATACCCGTAACAGCACTCGAGACCGAATTGGTCAAAATCAAATCCTTCCTACACCCTCTCTATTCTCCATGACTAACTCTTCTCACAATGTACAAGTATCTTTCATAAATGTTTCAGCAATAGGTAGTAGGTACATAATGTTTAACTTTCACATTAGATCGTTTAATTTGGATTATGCAGTCTGATTTGTAGCCGCGGTGGGTGATTGTCGTGGAATTTCGTTCTCTGAGCTGGGGATGTTTTGGTTGAGGAGCTTTCATTGTTCTTAGGAATACAACATCACCAGCAAAAACCTCGGATGGAAGTGAAGTACTCAAGTTTCTCCACATTTGATCCGTCGCTTGTTCGGTCGACCTGGATCTTGATCGGTTGTTATTGACCTTAATTCTGTTGTTGTTTGCACCTTTGTTTTAATTGTATTTCCCCTCTTTTGATCTGTTTCTTGATCATATGTCACCTACGATTTTTCTGATTGGTTGATAAATTGGGTCAATGTCGATGTGTTTGTTGAATGCTGATTGACTAGAGTGCCAAGCTTCTAAAAATTCTCTAATGTTCTTTGTGCTCCGCGTATCTAGTATTTCCACATTGTTCCAATTGAATATATATATCCATAGTTGTCCGTATGTATTGATATAAGCGAAGAATTGTCATGGCGTTTGATGATATTTGGTTTTTCTTCATTTGTCATTTTGTCCTTTAGTCTACATAGGATTGACTGAAATGATTCTGTTGGTTTGTGTGCCAAACCTATTTCAAATGGTTTCAGTAGTCGTGCTGTATGCTCCGATATGTCTTTTATGTATGGTAGGATGATCCGTTTATTGGTGCCTGTGCTTGATTTCGCTTCTATCGATAGTTTCAGCTGATATTTTTCTGATAAAGTTGCGTGGATAGCCGTTCTTTTGAAAGATAGTCATAACATGCTTTGCTTCGTTTCTTCCTGCTTCCTGTGTGATGCAACATGTCGTTGCTATCTTGAACAAAGTTTGCGTGCAGTTGATTTTATGAGTTCTTCGGTTGTTGCTACTGTAGTTGAGAATTAGATTTGTGTGGATTGGCTACCGAAATACTTGAGTTTACAGAGTTTATCTGCATCAGCTCTGAACAACCTTATCATTGATATATTATACAATCTCATTTAAATTTAGAGAATGCAACTTGAAGTTATGCACGAAGATGCTAATGATCATAGTTTTTATTGTTAGGAATTTTCTAGCAAACTACACTGACTTCAAAATACTTGGTTGGTTTAAATTTCTTAATTTTTAACCTACAGTTAACTTCAAACTAACTCTTCATTGTTTCGTTGTATGATGTTATATTGTTAATAAGGCCGGCAATTAATAGAGTATCAGCTCTCTGGAATATTACAGACGTAATTTAAAACTGAATAATTTGATTTTGACCAATTTGGTCTTGTGTGCTGTTACGGGTATGAGGACGGTTGTCACTTTTGAACTGACAATTACATCTCTGTACTGATGTGGTATGGCGGCAGCCTGACCAGATGTACTTACTTACTTATGTACGAAGTTCTACATTGTATCTATCTGTCTGGCCAGCATACAGCATTACAACAGCCCATAAACAAATCTATTGATTATTTTGTAACACTTATTAACATCAAGTATAAAATACACAATCTACAATCAATAATTCTGATCATTATATTTTCTTGTTATTTTTAATTTTTCTTTTTCATAGGTAATTGGTATATTGAATATAATTATAATAATTTAGGTGAATCATTTGTACACGATGTAGTTGCATATAATCGATTAGAATTATTACGTTTATTTCTAGCATATAATTATGATTTAGACAGACCAGCTAAACGTCTTCCACCAAATATACATTTACTCTCATCAACATCAACTTCATCGTCAGCATCCACATCATCATCGTCAACAGCATCAACATCCACATCAACATCATCAAATTATTTAAATTTATCCAAATCTACACATACTACTAATATGACCAATAATACAACAATAATTTCATCTGATGCGAATAATCGAACATGTCTGAAAAATCCATTTGAAAAATCACCATTTAAAATGGCATTAGAACGTGGACATCTTGATATGGCAAGAATTTTAGCAGAAGTTGGTTGTTTTTGTACTAGTTTACCAATGAATTCCACTAGCAGTAGTAGTGGTAGTAGTAGTAGTAGTATACCATCGGTATGTGCAAGCACCTCATCCACACCTACACCAACATCGTCCACATCCACACCTACACCGACATCATCGTCAACTAACACAAATTCTACAGAAATCAATTCAATTATTAGAAATTCACATTTAATTCATCAAAATTTATTAACACGACGTTATAATGGTTTATTAGAAGTCAAATCATTACAAAAATGGTGTCGTAAAGTGATTAGACAATATTTAGGTTTTCGTCTTATTGAAGCACTGCCATTATTACCGATTCCTGTACCATTGAAAGATTTTTTATTACTACGAGATATTGATTGGTCCATTTATCTAAATCATCATCATCATCATGCTCATCAGCAGCAACAGCAGGATAGTAATAATCGTAGTTCTATTATTAATTCAGGAGAATTAGCTATTATTGTACCGATTTAAATTTCCCTCCAACACGTTTTTTTTTAAAATTTAAACAAACCAACCCGCCAAAACACAACACACAAGACAAAAACCATTGATTTTCAAATGTTTTCCATTTTTACTCAGTCTTAGAAAATTTATAGATTAATTTATGATGAAAAGAGTGAAGAACATTGTTCAATTATAGGTTGATACACATTGAATATAGAAGAATAAATTTTAATTTAACAATATTCTAGGAAATTCATACATTTTAATAAAATATATTACTATTACTATTATTATTATTACGATTATTACTAGTATTTGGAATATATAAAACTTGAACTGACACAATTCTTATCAAGTGCCAACAAACATTGAAGTATATACACACAAATATACAAATATATTTGAAAAATGTCTATTTTTTTTCGACGTTATAATTGTATTTATGAAATTATATGTAGTACCATGAATATTGATTGTAATTTGTATTGGAGTATTACAGAGTTCTAGGTAGGGATGGCAGATGAATAGATGAAGTAGTGAAACTTCATCAGTTGAGGTGGTTGGGATACATGTGTTATGTATGGCTAACCACCGACTGCTTCGTCGAGCTATGTTTTGTGGTGTTGTAGGAGTAGGTTGGAAGAAAGTTAGGTGCGGCCAAACCAAAACATGGCAGAAATCTATGAAGTCAGTGAGAAGTGGACTGAGTCGTGTTGGTAGATGTAGGCTACCTGGTTGGGTTCCGTGAGACGAAAGTCACCAATTGTTAAAGACCTTGAACGACAAGGCTCAGAATCGTTTGCAATAGCGCAGGTGCACCGACTCTTTGTGTTCTATGAAATTCTAACCTTCTGAATTCCTCATGATCTCTACCTTTCTCCTTCTAAATTTGTCTGACTGAATTATACCTCTCGAATCATATCTTCGCTCTGTAATCTTCTCCATTACTGCTAATACTTCTATTACTGCTATCACTCTTGGATTTGAACTGACAGTTGCGTCTGTGTGCTGATGTGGTATGGCTGTAGTGCCTCCACATATATTCCAGTTCGCTTACATCTAACTTGGTTAAGCCCTTTCGATTAATTTATTTAACCAAGCCATTTGTATTGCAACAATTTATATGTACCATTCGTTCTTATTATTGTTGTCTGGTTTGTATGAGCTCACATGACATGTCCCACTCGCCATTTGACCTTGTCAATCATTCGTCGCTTTTATTCATGTGTGTGCACGCCTATTTCGCTTGTCGCATATCCGTCTTCTATTTGTCTGACTATGAATTCCTAGTCATGTTCTATCACTTTGAGTTGGCTCTTAGCCTTCTCCAATGTACTTCGCCCATCCGCATATTCGCTCGCTAGTGCGTCTGCCCGGTCTGTCTGTGGTCTGCTATCCTTATTTGTGGTGTGCCACAATAAACGGATACGATACTTCGAATTCATCTTCTGATTTATTAACCGTCAGACGTCATTTAGTAACGATTGTCTGAACGAGCTATTTACGAAACGTTAGAACACGTCAAAACCGGCACACTACATGGCAACCTGAACTGATGTACTTACGTACAAAGTTATGCGTTGTATCTGTCTATCTGTCTATTACAGAGTAACTGCTGCAATTAATAGCTCATAGTCCAAACTTTGGCCTCTAATATAAGTCAGAGTAAAACCAATACAAACTTAATGGGTGATACACAATCCAATCATGAATAAATCATGGTTAGATCGCTATTAGAAGCCTGGGCGCATTGAATGATGGCCGTTCGCGCCTGGTATGAAACGACTCATCAGTAGTGCTTATCGACGAATCCTGCTATTCGAAGGATTCGAACCCAGGACCTTCGGCGTTACATGCGATCGCCTGGCCTCTAGACCACTGAGCTGGAATCCCACAGTGTTAATGTTGGATATAATCAAAAAGGCAAATTTATGATTAAATGAAGATAACAATTATTGCTTGTCAGTCAGTTACAACGTAAAACTTCGTGCGTGTGTACATCAGTTCAGGTTGCCATACCACATCAGCACAGAGACGGAAAGTGCATAGTAATAGAGGCAGTGAGAGTATTAGCAGAAATGAAGAATATTAAGAGTGGAAGATGTTATTCAAGGCGTATAATCCAGTGAAATAACTTTAAGAAAAGAGAAAGTATAAAAAAGGTGATGAAGAATTCTGAAGATCAGGAGTTGAGAAAAGACAAACACTGGATGCATCATCTGTGCCATTGCAAACTATTGTGAGTCATGTCATTTCAGGTCTCTAACTAACCGTCGATTACTAGTGTCTTGCAGACACTAACCAGGTAGTCTACACCTACTTACATAGCTCAGTCCACTTGTCAGCGACTTCATGGTTTTGTGTCATACTTCGGTTTGGTCGCCTGTGGCTTTCTTTCAACATAATCCTGCAACACAAAACATTATATTCAGGAAGGACTCATGTGTCATACAGATAATGCTTCATGTACTATGCTGACTTGGTAATACAAACCAAAAGAACTGTCGTAGTCATTCTGATTCGTTTGATAAAAATGTTACTACAATGCAAATACTTTCTTTGGAAATTCAAAAATCCACCAAGATAAGTACACATGGAAAAAAAATTTGGGTACCATATGAAGCCGTTTAACGTATATACAACATAAAAAGAGCTTATATGGGATAAATTTCTTTTGTTAACCTCAAAATAAAAGAATTGAAAAGTAATTTTGGCGGAAAATGTATATCAGTAGTATTGTGGTGTACGCTACTTATGTTCACATAAGTAGTATGTGATGTCAAATGGAAATCCAAATGTCTGACAGCAAAAGATCGAGAAGGAAAGAATGAGAACCGAAGGAGATTTGTAGGTAACGTAAACTGAACTGTAGTCTGAACAGTCTCAATGAAAGAACATTGAAATCTGAAACAAATAAGGATTCGTTTGCAAATGATGATTTCACGGGAAGATTTTGTACATATGCTTAACAACTCTGTAATATTCGCTTAAATATAGATGTTGATGTCCTCACCTGAGTTTTCGTGCACAACAGTAGTAGTAGGGAAAAATACAACTTACTTTTTTAATTCATTGTATTAAGTATGATAAATTATTCGGATCATCTGTTTTCTGATGAATGAAAGTTTTCTTAAACACACTTTATCGATCTTCCAAGTGTTTTTTGTTCTGGTTAAACAAATGTAAGTTTGTTTTATTATGATCAAGTTACATATTCGTTTATTTCGAAATTGAGTCACAGGGCGGTCGATATTCAATATATTCGTAGACTTCTTATACTGTTTGTTCAGTCAGCCGTTACTAGATAATGCCCAAAAGTGTAGAAATCGAAAGATGAATACGAAGTGTTGAATGCGTATATTGTCGCACCGAAACCACAGACAGGTCCATGAAACAAAAATAATGTGCCAGTGACGAACAGCAAGTGAGTGAGCGAATAAGTGAATGAATAAGATTAAAATGTACAGAATGAATAAGTCATCAAATTATTTAAGAGGCTAAAATCAAAGCGATTAGAATGAATATACACGTAGGCAGTAAGCAATGCTCTATCATACCTGCTCATACGAGCGCGACAATAATACAAGCACAATGTTAATCAAGAGGGCTTAACCAAATTAAATGCGAACAGACTCAAATGCATGTGAGGTACTAAAAGTCAAAACACTGCAGTCAAAGACCATTATGAACAATTATTACATGAAACGGTATTTACAATATCATTTGAAAGACGGTCATCAAAAACAGAAGAGTTTGAGACAGCTACGAAAATGTAGGATGTATAATGGATAGAGCTCTAATGATGAGAACATTAACTATCAAAATTTTACAAACTATTGTTGATCACTACGAATGTGTCTCCGTTTAACATATTCCTAAAAACTGACCATCCTGTTCTCGACAATCTGATTATCATCTCACGAATAAGTTCGCATGTTTAGGGTTAGAATGGAATTTGTTTCTACTCCTTGTTGGTTAGAGGGAGATTCGATTTTCAGTCACTAATTCCTAGATTAGAACGCCGCTCCACCTGTATCGGTTTCGGTAATCGCGTAGATTCGTCAGCCGTTACTTGGGTTATAGACAGATACGTGGGGGATTATCTAAAATTTGTTTTATGGGTTATGGTTAGCCGGTTTGTATACCCAACTTACACGCATCAGTAGACCCTGCTTATTTGTTGCATAGTCTTAAATTCAAGCATCGTCATCATCAAGGATGTAATCACTGATGAACGAAAAGTATCTAATTTTGGGTCGTGAAGACTTTAGTTGCGCCTTTAAGGAGAAACATGGCCAGTGAGAGTAGAAGACATTCGTAGGTTACTGGTTTTCGATCATAGATGTCTTCAAAGCATTGCTCGTATATCCTGGGACACACGAGTGAGCAACGTTGTTATTAGGAAACGGGTGTTAGGTAAGAATGGCAGATCAATCGATGAAGTAATGAAACTCCATCAGTTGAGGTGGTTGGGACATGTGTTACGTATGCTCAAAAGCCAACTTAAGTCACTGACTAGTTGACTGAGTCATGTTGGTAGTTATCGACTACCTGTTTGGGGTCCGCGAGATTATAATAATCGATGGTTAGCGACCCTGAATAACATGGCTCAAAACCGTTTGCAATGGCGCCGGTGCATTTATTCTTCGTGTTCTCTCAAATCCTAATCTTCTGGATTCTTCAACACCTCACTGAGTCACACTTCTTGAATAATATTTTCTAATCCTGACCTTTCCGATTACTTCTCATTCCCTTACTACCTCTACTACTATTTGGATTTGAATTGACAATTACATCTCTGTGTGCTAATGCGGTATGGCAACATGAACTGATGTACTAACGTACGAAGTTCTACGTTGCATCTGACTGACTGACTTTAAGGAGACTATTTTCTAAGTAGCATTGTACGGTAGTTTTCAAATCATGGGTCGTAAGGAGCGCTATCGAAATCTCAGCACAGATACAGAAGACTCGATTGGCTTTTGCCAACCTACGCCACTTATGGTGTAGGAGAAATATCCGTCTATCAATCAAAAGATGAGTTTGTAGCTCAGCAGTTCGCTCCGTCCTACTTTATGGCTGCAAAACATGGCCAGTCAGAGCAAAGGATATTCATAGGTTTTCAGTGTTCGATCATCGTGTATCCTGGGACAACTGAGTAAGCAATGTTGTCGTTAGGAAACAAGTACTGGGTAAGGATGGCCAATAAATAGATGAAGAGCTGAAGCTCCATCAGTTGAGATGGTTGGGACATGTGAAACGAATGTCCAACCACCGACAGGGTTTTGTGATGTAGGAGTAGGTTGGAAGAAAGCTAAGGGCGGTCAGACCTAAACATGGCACAACTGACAACTGGACTGAGCGATGTAGGTAAGTGTAGACCGCGAGGTCAGTGTCTAGTAACCGATGGTTAGAGACCTTGAATGACATAACTCGGAATCTTTTACAATAACAGAGGTGCATCCATTCCTTGTGTTCCACTGAATTCTATTCACCATTCCTCATGATCATCATCTTTCTCTTCACAAATTTATTTGACTCAGTTATACTCCTTGAATAACATCTTCAACCCTTAATCTTTCAAACTAATGCTCATACACTTCTACTACATCTACCACTATGGAATTTGAATCAACGACTGGATTTTTGTGCTGTCGTAGGACGGCTGTACGTACGAAGTTCTACATTGCTGCTGACTGACAATTGAATTGATTAGAGTTAAACATACAAATCAATGGATACTATCTTGCCTATCACATTACCTGAAAATCCTAAGTTCATCTCTTAGTGAAGTCCTGCATACTATAATGAAATAGCTTTTCAATGTGTCTCAAGGCTTTTAATAACTGCTTAACCGAAAATCACAAAATTTTTAATAATCTCTACAAACTCCACTCTACTTATTATATGTGATGACATAGTTCTATTCGGTGATGCTGACAAAATGCAGCGTCTTCTGACTAACATAAGCAACAATGCGAGCATGTTTGGGATGCGGTTCTCAACCTCGAAATGCAAAATGTTGCTTCAACACTGGGTTGCATTGGCACCTGAACTAGTGATAGGGAGTGAAGTAGTCGAGCGTGTAGATCACTTCACTTATCTTGGGAGTCTCATCAGTGCTAACGGTCTGGTGACTGACGAAATCTCAGCTCGGATACAGAAAGCTCGATTGGCTTTTGCCAACCTGCGTCACTTATGGCGTAGGCGTGATATCCGTTCACTGACCAAAAAACGGGTGAACTGCGCAGCAGTTCAATCCGTCTTACTTTATGGCTGTGAAACATGGCCAGTCAGAGTAGAAGATATTCTTAGGTTACTGGTTTTCGATCATAGGTGTCTTTGAAGCATTGCTCGTATACCGTGGGACAACCGAGTAAGAAATGCTGTTTTCAGGAAACGAGTACTAGGTAAGGATGGCAGATCGATAGATGAAGTAGTGAAACTTCATCAGTTGAGGTAGTTGGGTAATGTGTTGCGAATGCCTAACCACCGACTGCCTCGTTGAGCTATGTTTTGTGATGTAGGAGTAGGTTAGAAGAAAGTTAGCGGGCGGTCAGACCAAAACATGGCAGAAATGCATGAAGTCAGTGACAAGTGGACCGAGTCACGTTGGTAGATGTAAACTACGTGGTTGGCGTCTGCAAGACGAGAGTCACCGATTGTTAGAGACCTTGAACGACATGGCTTAGAATCGTTTGCAATGGAGCAGGTGCATCCATTCGTTGTGCTCTCTCAAATTCTTATCTTCTGGATTCGTCAGCACCTCTAACTTTGTCTTTCTAACCTTATCTCACTCACTGAATTATACTTCTTGAATAATATCTTCAAACCCCCTAGTCTTCTTCATTACCATTAATATCTCTACTATCTCTATCATTATGGGATTTGATTTGACATTTGCATCTCTGTGTGCTAATGTGGTATGGCAACTTGAACTCTTATGTACTTACGTAGGTACGAAGTTGCACGCTGCATCTGACTGACTGACTGACTTATTATATGTACTACTACATAGACTAGTTATTATTAATCATTAAATAGAACATTTTGTACAACAATCTTTGTTTGTTTGTATCTATTATTATGCAACAAAAAACACAATAATTTGGGAAGATGATTAAAACAAAAAAAATTGGTTAATATAAAATTTGAAAATGAAGAAAATGAAGAAAATAGAATAGAAAATAACCAGGGCATAATAATAATAATAATAATAATAAAAATTTGTAAAAAAATAATAATAAACTGTTTTATTGAAAAACTTTAATACAAAATGAACATTGTGTATTTTGTATGATAACAAGAATAAGATGACAATTCAACTGAACACACAAAAAAAATAAATACTCAAGATGGAAGAATTTCATTAAAATGATAATAAACTTTTGTACGTTCAGTAAGTGTGATATCTTTGAAGCCAGCATTTAAGAAACTATCGACAACAACCTTAAAATAGAAAGAAAAAAAATTGTATAATAGAGAAACTGTGTGCGTGTGTGTGCGTCTACAAACAGCATACAAACACTTTGTTGAATGATAATATAAAATAAAAAGTAACACTAATTAATAACCCCACATGTAGTCATTACTCAATCAAACATTGAATTGTAAATGTTGCAGTGCCTCCACATATATTTCAGTTCTCTCACATCTAACTTGGTTAAGCCCTTTCGATTAATTTATTTAACCAAGCCATTTGTAAAACAATAACTTATATGTACCATTGGCTTTTATTATTGTGTGGTTTGTATGCGCTGGTATGATTGAACGTTGGTTACACTTGCGCGCATATTCATACTTTTCGCTTTAATGTTAATCTCGTAATATTCCCATGAACTCACATGATGTGTATCGCTTGCTTTTGACCTTGTCAATCATTCGTCGCTTTTATTCATTTGTGTGCATACCTATTTCGCTTGTCATATGCCTGTCTTATTCTTATCTGACGATAGGCAAACCCGACCACCACGTCAAGGTAGCAGTTACGGTCGGGAAAGCAGCTACGAATAACCTCAATTTTCAAAAGTCACATTTCTCAGTCATACATTTAAACTATCATTGAATTATTATTCAAAACTATCTTCACATAAATCATAAATCATTAAAAAAATATTTATTTTACACTAATTACTTACCTCTTTAATTCCATCTAAAACAATAATAAATCGATAACGTTGTTGTAACAATGGCCAAATATTACTAGCCATTAAAGCTGTATTAGCAAAACTAAACACTATCATATCAGCATCTGGTAAAGTGTCAATATCATCACGAATATGAATACGTGATTGTTTAAACCAAACAGATATTTTATATTGAGATGACCATTGACGATCGAATACTGTTAAATAATTACCCCATCCAGAGCATTGATCAATAGCATAATAAATAATACGTTGATTGAAACCACGACAACGTGCATAGGCCAGATAAGCAGCAATATCTGGTCCAGGACCAACACCAATACTAATTAGACGAGTAACATGCTCGCGTAAATATACTTCAACTTGTGGATTTTCTGGAATAATTCTATAAACTAAAGCCTTAGGAAATAAAAATTCAATGAACATAAATGAATTGATTTGAATGAAAAGTAATAAGTTAATGTACATATTTAATTATATGAAAATACTCTTCCTTTCTCTCGTGTGACATAATTGTCTAGAGTATCCTTTTCCTAACACCATCATTGCTTACTCAGTTACTCCATATTGCATAAGACATGCTTCGAAGACAACTATGATAGAGCATTACTTACTTACTTACTTACGCCTATTACCCACAATGGAGAAGAGGCCGCCCACCAGCTTTCGCGAACCAACTCTGTCTGTCCTGCGCTTCGCTTTCCAGTTCTGTCCAATTTTTGTTGATTCCGCTCATATCTTTCTCTATTTCTCGGCGTAATGTGTTCCTTGGCCTTTCTCTTTTCCTTTCGCCTTGAGGGTTCCATGTGAGGGCTTGTCTCGTGAAGCAGTTAGGTGCTTTTCGTAATGTGTGTCCTAACCACTTCCACCGCTTCTTCCTCATTTCCTCCTCCACTGGAATCTCGTTTGTTCTCTCCAACAGTTCGTTGTTGCTGATGGTGTCTGGCCAACGAATCTGAAGTATTTTGCGTAGACAGCTGTTGATAAACACTTGTATCTTCTGGATGATGCCTTTCGTAGTTCTCCAAGTTTCCGCTCCATACAGTAGAACTGTCTTGACATCTGTATTGAAAATCCTGATTTTGGTTTTGGTTGAAAGTTGTTTGGAGTTCCAGATATTTTTCAACTGTAGAAACGCAGCCCTTGTTTTGCCAATCCACACCCTCACATCTGCATCGGATCCACCTTGATTGTCGATGATGCTGCCCAGATATGTAAAAGCGTTAACGTCCTCCAAGGCATCACCATCAAGAGTGATTTGGTATGATAGAGTATTAGGAACCTAAAAATATCCTTGAGTCTTATTAACCGTTTTTCACACTCGTAAGGTAAGATGAAGAGAACTGCTGCGCAGCAGACTCTTCCTTTGGTTAAAAGACGATTATCTCGCTTATGTCAAAAGTAACATAATTTGCCACAAGCCAATCGAGTCTTCTGTAACCGTGCTGAGATTTTGTCAGACATTAGGTCATCAGCATTGATGAGATTCCTGAGATAAGTGAAGCAGTCAATACGCACCACTACTTCACTCCCTCTAACCAGTTTAGGCGCTGATGCTTGCCAATCCCAAAGCAACATTTCGCATTTCGGCTGAGAGAACCGCATCATGAACATGCTTTCACTGTTGCATAGGGTGGTCAGAAGACTACATTTTTTCAGCGTTCTAACCAAATAAGACTCTGTCATCGTCATATTCTAAGTTGAGCAGTGAACCTCCTGGTAAAAGTTCAATTCCTGAAAAAGCAGACGAAGAAATTGTTGTTTCTAAAAGCAGGTCTACGACAAAGTTGAATAAGAATGGAGAGTAGACAACCCTGACGAGCACCAGTTGAGGTATTCATTTCCGATGATAGTTTTCCATAAGCTCTCACTCGACGAGCAGTGTTCAGGTAGAAAGCCTATACAAGGTTAATGTACTTATTTGGTGTATCTTTCAATGACAGGCACTGCCACAGAACCTCACGATTTACAGAGTCAAAGTGTCAGGGAATACAACATTTATCGAATGCCCAAATGTGTGCCTGTTCTAAAACCTGATGAAATGTGAATATATAGTCTATATACTAACGCACAGGTCTGAAACCAGCCTGGTTTGTTGCTCTTCACGAGCTCTCGTTATGGGTCAAAGTATTATATTTGTTAAACTGATTACTCTGTGACTGTTACAAGAGAACTTTTGTCCCTCAACTAAAGACTCCGACAATCGGTGGTTGAGACTAGTCGGATGGGATTACGTCCAGTTCCCCGATTATAGCTGCGAAAACTGGACCACCATTCTTATAAATGTCAGGGGTTAATCTATCAGGACTTGCTGCTCTCTCTCTTCCTACGTTATGTGTAGCCTTTTTGACCATTCAGGCTTACTGGAGATTGTGGATAAATGAAATGTGGCCGAAGGCCAGTTAAACTGCTTCCTAAAATGTTTTGCCTATCTATCCAATCTCCTGGACTGGAAGAGTCCGAATACCGGTTTCCCTGATAAGTCTAAACAATTGCCTACTGTTACCTGTCGCATCTACCTCTTCCATCCCTTTTACTTTCGCTACCCACCACCACTCAAGATCATTGTGTAGGCTTTTTGTTAGCCTGTGTCTAAGCTATTCCCTTTGCTCATTATGTTCAGAGCCAGACAGGATGAATTTACAAGTATTTATCAGTTCACTAGATGTTACTGAAATCCAGTGCCCCTCCTTAACCATTTGGTTTAATTTATTGGTAGAAATCACTGCTGTTACCATGGCTTTCAGGATAGTTATCCAAGCTACCTGAGGGCGAGCGTCACTTACATGGTTGTTTAACTGGTTTTTTAGTTGCTTGCCAAACATACTCTTGGCCTTTTTATTGTTAAGTAGATCTGTAAGGGGTTTCCTCGCTGTTTTTCTTACGATCAGCAAGCCATAAACAAATACTGATATCTCGCGGATCCCAATCAGATAGTCTACACGCACTAACATGGCTCAGTTCATTTGTCAGTAACTCCACTGCGTATGTGAGGTTACTGTCCCATTTACATTTCCAATTTAAAACCGAAAACCCCAACATTCATAAAGCTAGACACAAAACCTATCATACTCTAAAATTGTATCCTTAATAGTCAACGGGCCTTCGCATCCACCAGTCCAGTTTAAGGACCCGATATTCGCTTTTCGTTGTCTCAATTTCGTAAACAATACTCCGACCATAAGAAGGTAGTGAGTAGGACCTGAACTCTACCAGTGGTTGTTAACGCGTGACTGCACGAAGTCATTTCGAGGAGAGCAAACTTCCCCCTTTCGAACATACCAAGGCATTTGGGAGGGGGGGGCAGATAAACATTATGATAAAGGAAAATTACTTTGAAAAAATTATATCTAAGTTGTTTTTACCTGAAGAAAACTTGTAGCGCTATTTATATAACGTTTTTGAGTGTAAGTGGCACGAAATGTGTCGTTATCGTAATAAGTTAGAAGGCATTCTTTTCGACGTATTTTACCTGGAAAAAAATAGAATTTTAAAAATTTATAAATATTACGGGAATGGCCTCTCATTACTCGATGCTTTTTAAGAGTTAATTAGCTAAACAGTAACAACTGTTGATTTAAATTATTACTATTATTATTATTACATCACAGCACTCGACTTCCAGCTACTCAGTCCCCCCCGACCGAAGCTGCTACTTTGACGTGGTGGTCGGGCTTGCCTATCGTCATGACCCAACAGAGCTATATTGCCTGGAACATATGTTCCTCAAGGTTCTACCATGCCAGGTTGGTCGATTGGAGAACGATGAGACTAAAAGCAGCTACCCAAGGTCTGAGGGCGAAGTCGTACTGCTGACTGCAGAGGGGTGTGACAGCAGTAAGGTGTTTCCCTCGGACAAACAGAATCTGCAGCGATGCTGCCTTCTCACAAGGAACGAAGGGTTAGAAAAGGTCGGCCCTAAAAATGTCACACCTCCCCTAACTCACGGATTTCCGTCTCCCTGGGTAAGGGTGCCCACTAAGGGCCTTTAAGAACGGAGCTAATCCTCTAAATACCTTACATAAAAAGGCCGTGCGTGACCGGCCTCAAGCAGTTGTCCCTTGGACTCTGCGGTCCCGCACCAACACTAATCCATCTTCCCTTTCAGGTCCCTCAAGAAACAACCTTCCACGGTGTGGGCAGCCGGGAAGTGACAACCGCCCTCATACCCGTAACAGCACGCGAGACCAAATTGGTCAAAATCAAATCCTTCCTACACCCCCTAATGTCTCTCTTATCTCTACGACTAACTCTACTCACACTCCACATTTTCTCACTGCACCGCTAATGCAGACGAAGCGAGATCACGAAACGTCGTTCCTGGTCTCTTGAAACCCCGTTCTAGACTACATGTTGGAGCTTTTAATGTACGGACATTGTGTCAAATAGGGCAACAGGCATCACTAGCCAGGACTTTAGAATCTCGTGCCATCGATGTATGCTGCGTCTCGGAAACGCGCATACAGGATCCTAGTAAAGTCATTAACCTTATTCCACCTTGACTGACTCAGTCCCCAGTTTCAACCCTGTACCACTTACCTCAGTTTAACCAACCGGGTTTACTAGTCACGTTAATATCTTGGAAGTATTGTACAGTAACATTTCATGGTAGTTAGGAATTGTGAATAGTGTTAAATAATCTTTTTACTTAACGACTTAGAGTGTATAGCCAATACTGTCTAATTAAACAATCACACATTGATTAAATAACACTCGAAGCATTGCTCGTATACCGTGGGACAACCGAGTAAGCAATGCTGTCGTTAGGAAACGAGTACTAGGCAAGGATGGCAGATCAATAGATGAAGTGGTGAAACTTCATCAGTTGAGGTGGTTGGGACATGTCTTGCGTATGCCGAACCACCGACTGCCTCGACGAACTTTGTTTTGTAGTGTAGGAGTAGGTTGGAAGAAAGTTAGGGGCGGCCAGACCAAAACATGGCAGAAATCCATGAAGTCATTGACAAGTGGACTTAGCCATGTCGGTAATTGTCGACTACCTGGTTGGGGTCCGCGAGATGATAATAATCGATGGTTAGAGACCTTGAATGACATGGCTCAAAATCGTTCGCAATGGCGCCGGTGCATTTATTCTTTGTGTTCCCTCAAACCCTAATCTTCTGGATTCTTCAACACCTCTAGTTTCGACTCTCTAAACTTTTCTCACTGAATCATACTTCTTGAATAGTATCTTCTAACCGTAACCTCTCCGATTACTTCTAATTCCCTTACTACCTCTACTACTATTGGATTTGAATTGACAATTATATCTGTGTGCTGATGTGGTATGGCAACATGAACTGATGTACTTACGTACCAAGTTCTACGTTGCATCTGACTGACTGAATGAAATAACACTCAACTAGCAAGTAAAAAGCATTTTTAAGGTAAGCGCTATAGACTGTTACAAGATAGAATGTTCCTAAAGAATTAGTAAGAATTTTTTAATTACGCTTATATCAGTTAGTGAACCACTGACAAATATAAAACATTCTAAATGCATAGATAATCCACAATGTTGATTAAAGGATGATGGTATTTCTATGTAACCAAAGCTATGGCAACATACACAAGTCTAGATCCCACATAGAGTAGTCACAGAATTATTTTGACTGGAAAAAATAATTCTTTGCAATACACTGTCTTCACTAACTCAAGATGATAGAGTAGAATATCATACGGAATTGTAAGTAGTAGGGTTTAAGCGAAAAACCAAATAACTAATAGATAACTTTAAATCACGAAGCCACAAACAATGTAATCTTTGAGAATGGTCAGTCAGTCAGATGCAACGTAGAACTTCGTACGTAAGTACATCAGTTCATGTTGCCATACCACATCAGCACACAGATATAATTGTCAATTCAAATCCAATAAAAGAAGAGGTAGTAAGGGAATTAGAAATAATCGGAGAGGTTAGGATTAGAAGATATTATTCAAGAAGTATGATTCAGTGAGAAAAGTTTAGAGAGTCGAAACTAGAGGCGTTGAAGAATCCAGAAGATTAGGGTTTGAGGGAACACAAAGAATAAATGCACCGGCGCCATTGCGAACGATTTTGAGTCATGTCATTCAAGGTCTCTAACCATCGATTATTATCATCTCGCGGACCCCAACCAGGTAGTCGACAATTACCGACATGGCTAAGTCCACTTGTCAATGACTTCATGGATTTCTGGGAAATTCAGGACAATTTGATATCAAGTGTTGTTAGCTGTCGTATAATTTAAGAAAAGTGGTGGTTCATTGATAACATAGTCGTGATGCAAAGAAAAAATAACAGTGTGCGATGAGACCATACAGACTTTCAAACTAACATAGAAAAAAAAATTATTAATTTAATAGTTTGTGATTGCATAAGTGTATTCATCCAACGTACACAACTAAACAAATATAACTTTTAACAGAGTTACCCCATTCTCTGTAGAGACTTTGACCTCGTTGTTCACGATCAGATCTTAGTATAGAGTTAATTAACTTATCTATAGGTTGATACAATTCCACTATTTGTTTGACTTCTTGAGCAAATTTAGCTCGTCTTTGAACACAATTTTCCCATACAGATCGCAACTCTGCATCCAACTCATCATCAGCAATCTTTTGCTTTAGAAAACTCTCCCACCATGCTTCAACAGATTCATCAGATTCACCAGTACCAGGCTCAGCTGTCTCCATGAATTCACAATTTCCTGATTAACGATAGAAATTGAAAGACAACACATGAAAAATATAATAGTGAGAGTACTACATGTAGTAAAGGTAGTATGTAAAATATACACATGATAATTGAGTTGCAAATTAATTAAGAATGTGTGGTAGATGGGTTACATCAGTTGATTAATCTCAGACTTACGTATCTGAACAAGATACATTATGATTTACATGTTCACCTATCTTCAACCTCTGATTACGCATACTAAAATACGCTATTGGTTTACTTTAGATACAGACAGGAAAGTAATACACAATTAGATTAAACCCAAAGTAATAAAATTATCCAATCACTGCAAATTATTGTTTACTGACTGTCGTATAACTGCACGTGAGCATTTTAACGCCAGAAGCGGAATACAAAGAGTTTTCAACTTCCAACCTCATTTAATCAGCTCACAAAGTTTGTAAATTGAAAATGTGGGATTACATAAAAGGCGCGTGCACTTACACAGTAACGATCTTCGTTAGGACAAAACAGCCACCAATAATAACCACATTCAATATCCAATATCCAATATTTTTTCACGAGCTAGTGTAAACCAATTTAATTTCTTCGCGCTCGATTCTTGTTCTTTCGGTACGGTTCCAGGTGTTCGGTAATGTCCAATGGATGGAGGTCTAGCCACTCGACTGTCTAATTCTAGTCAGTTGGCAGTTGATTGTGAGTTTGTATGTCTCGGGATTTGAATGAAACGTTTGTTTCAGGGCAGTAGGGTTTCTGGATACTAGCAGCCATCACATTACCAAACCGAAGATCAGTTAGTTGCAATGTGGAGAGTAATAAGGGTAATAAGGGTAAATTAAAATGATAATATGAGTAAAATTTCAGAACTGAGTAATGTATAGATGAATTTAGTTTATTAATTGGTAGTGAAGATTGAGAGAGGACCGAAGTGTAAGCAAGGGAGAGGAATAGGCTAGATAGATTAATTGAGTGATCTGAGGAGATGGCAATGGTAACAACTAGCAGGTCTCAAGATATGCATCAGGCACAACTTGTCCAAGAGGGAGATGATAGTCCGCATGTGAGTAAGTGATTATCAAGTCTCTTCTTAAAGCAGTCCACTGAGGGGGCTGTAACTACCTCGGCTGGGAGAGCATTCCAAGTTGCGACGACTCGCAATGAGAAAAAGTGTGCACGAATCTGAGTGTTTGCTCTTTGATGTGCAATCTTTTGAGGATTGCCTCGAGGGGAGTGGTGGTGATGCATCGGTAAGATGCTCACATTGGGATGGTTTGGCGTGTTTAATATGGTGTACGCCATAATCAGGTCACCTCTGATTCTCCTGCACCTCAGTGGGAATAATCCCAAGATCTGGAGTCTATCGTCGTACGGTTTATTTTTCAACCCTATCACCCATTTGGTTGCTCGTCTCTGCACTCGATCCAAGAGATTAATGTCTCTTTTAAGCAGAGGGGGTGCGATGACGTTGTGAACCTCTAAGTGTGGGCGCGCGTACGTCTTAAAGAGGGTATTCAATATCCAATATCATTTTCACGATCTATTATAAACCACTTAATTTCTTTGCGCTTGATTCTTGTTCAAGTTGCAACGACTCTTGTTGACAAAAAGTGTGTTCGAACCTGAATGTTCACTCTGGGATGCGCAATTTCTCGAGGATTACTTTGAGGGGAGTGGTGGTGATGCATCGGTAAGATGCTCACTGCGATTGTGCTCTGAGGCGACATTAAGAAGCGGACTTTTGTTGAGGATGTACGTCGTTCGCACCATGTGGGGCAAAATGTAAGTGGTTTGGTTTTAAATTGTTTCTCACTGCATATTCCTCAATGGATATAAGGTCCTTTTGAATCTCAGTCAGATACTCTTCGCTTTTAAATGACCTCCAGAACTTTGCTTCGTCTGCGGAACTAACTTTGTCTAACAGGCCGTTAATGAATGTCAGGAAGAGAAGTGGACCTGAGATGGTTCCTTGTGAAACTCCCCATGTTGAGACTCGCCAGTTCGCGTGCACTCCATTTCCTTTGGTACGAAACTTTCTCTTCTCAAGGTAGTTTCTGAGCCAAGATAGGTGTTGGTCAGTGAAGCCTATTTCAGCAAACTTTACGGTTAGGCGTGTGTGAGGTTCTGTGTCGAGGGCTTTTTCAAAGACTAAAAACATTACGTGCACAGATGTTTTTCGGTCCCAGCGGGATGTCCAACTGTCCCACGTTACGAAAAGACTGGATGCACACGACTTGCCTTTCCAACACCCATGTTGAGCTTCGTGGAGGATTTTTTATATTATCGATGTACGCCCTCATCTGTTCGATCACTAGTCCTTCCATTACCTTCGACAGTATTGGTAGTAATCAGACTGATCTGTAACGAGCTGAGTCCTTCCTATATCCTTCTTTGAAGATTGGAGAGAGAGTCGCTTGTTTGCATCCAGCTGAGAGTTGATATGGCTCAATTGAAGGCCTGAACTGGTCACATATCTGTGAAGTGAGGGTTAATGCACACTAAGTCAGAAGTTATACGGATATTCCCTACGCCGTCAGCCGGCACTGGGTTTGTGTAGTACTCTGAACATGTGGATGCCTGGTTTAACTGCTCAGTGAAGTTTGTGTTGAAGATCTCAGCCATCTCTCGATTGGTGAGCTCTTCCACATTCGGACTTGTGAGAGCACAAAAACCATGATTCGTAGGTTTTCTTCCTGTCAAGAACCTCAAAAGATGCTCAGGGTCAGCTTGCTTTTGGACAGCCAGCTTCATCTGAAATCGTCTCCTATCATTTGGAACTTTGGTACTGAATCTTCTTCTGAATGACAAGCAAGAGGTTTTAGTGGCGACCGAGTAGAGATTGACTATGATCACCACTAAATGTTCCATACTGTCTCGTCACGTAATTAAGAAATAAGTACATGTTCGAAAATTTATTGAAGTAGAAAGTAGGCATTACATAGAGAGCAGCAAGTTATGGAAAATGGCAGCAACGCGAAAAGAAACGTCGCACGCAAGAAAGTATTTTTGGTGCAGTTAAACAAAACGAGTACAATGATAAATGTTTATTTTTCACAATTCGCGTTTTCTTCGTAGAAGTGTTCCACTACAAAGTGCTATCGGAATCCGCGAGGGAGACCTTCGAATTTCGCCGAACTCCCCTCTATCTCTGAAGCGAACGTTCACTGCCGCGCCTAACCGCTGTTACTCTATTTCCGGATGTGCTGTGACTGAGGTACATTGTCTACGACAACCTTCTGGATGATGTCTCTTACTGTTTGCAAGTGATCATAATAATAATAATAATTTATTCTCAAATAACTAAGTTACAAGAGTCACGCCAGTTTACAGGCTAGATCAAATTGTCACAAATGCTTTTACAATTACTGTAAAAGTTATAGCAGTTAAATTAAGTATAAGAGACAGTTTCTGATTGCATATTTACACCATATCACTGACAGAAACAGTATAATACAGCCACATTTTCAATATTAGAGTACAAATGAGGAAGGTGCACAATAGGTTCTATTGGCGATTGGCCGAGATCAATAATTAATTTGTTGGGAAAGGTCATATGGAACGCGCTTGATACGAGCTGTGATCCAGACAGTCATGTACATTGGGTGCATGTTCCCTAGAGTTGCCAAGGATTTCCCACCGTGAATGGGGTTCTGAAAAGGAGAAGAGAGAGGAAAAGGCAGCAGTGTGGCAAGTGTATATATATAACCAAAGCACTACTTAACCTGTCATGTTGAAGTAGTCAATACAGTAGTAAGTCAAGATAACATTCATACTGACCACTTAAATTAAAGTAAATTATGGGAATATAAGAATATAACGCACAGATAAAGGAGTACAGCAAAAAGAAGGGAGAGTTGTGCAGTGTCAGGTGGATAGAGGAGAAGTCGAAGTAAGAAGCTGGATTTATGTACGTTGAAATCGAAATTCTAGTTAAAAGAGTAGAGTTTGTAAAAATAAATATTTGACGAATAAAATCTCGCACTGTCTAACTGTTTTTTTTCTTTAT